AGCTGTCCGCTGATCTGCAGGCGTGTCAGCTCGAACTGGGTGCACATGGGGGCCAGACTGATGTGTGGGGCACTCGACTGATCCACGGGCAATGGCTGCGTGAGACGCAGCACAGCCAAATCGTCGCGATAAACGGCAACGCGCTGCAAGAGAACGTGAGAGATGATTTAGAAAAAACGAGTGAGAGACAGATAGAAATAGAGAGAGAGTGAGTGAGAGAGAGAGAGAGAGATACACACATCTACAACTGCTATAAAGTCCTCTTCATCATCCACATCGCGCATATCGGCCACACCAAAGACCGCATGACTGGGCCGCCCGCAGTTGGCGCCGCTCACCAGGAGCTGCGGCGTCAGCACCAGAGCCGTGCAGCTATGCACATAGCCATCGTGGGCGGCATTCGGATATGCCAGCGCCGCCAGATGCTTATAGTGGGGCAACAGCCGCACCGCATTGGCAGCGGCGCTCTCATCATCGTACAATGCTCTCGTCTCGATCTGCGATGCTGTCGTCTCGGGCAGACAGATGCGCGTGGCGGTGCCCACCTGGCCGCGCGGCACCGCCGGCAGGTTGGCCGGACAGCAAATGATCTCCTCGAGGGTGCCGTCCCGGCACGTTTGGATATCGTCATCGTGCAGTCGCTGCTGCAGCAGAAACGTTTTCAGGCTGCGGCAGCGCGAAGCCGTCTCGCAGCTGCCCTCGTACAGGGGCGTCTGGCAGGCGGCGCCCGACATGGTGGAGGTATCTGGGAATATGATGCTGTCCCGGCTGGCTGGCGCCTGCTCGGCCACCGAACGTTCCACATACTCTCGACTGGTCTTGAAGAGGCTCAGCCAAGGTGGAGATTCTGTTGTTGGTGCTGCTGTGGTTGTGGTGGTTGTTGTAGTGGTTGTTGTTGTAGTGGTTGTTGTTGTAGTTGCTGCGTCTTCAAGCGGACAGCAAATCTTCTCGCCAGCTATAGTATAGCCACAATTAAGCACAGACTCAACCGACAGTCGTCCACTTCTAATAAACGGCCCCAGCGTGGAGCACTGCTCCGCCGGCTGGCAACTGCTCCGATAACCGCGAGTCGGACACGGATCACCAACTGCTAACGCAAAAGAGAGCATTAGATAAGTATTTAAATATATACAGAGAAAATGAGAGAGAGAGAGAGAGAGAGAGAGAGAGAGAGAGAAAGAGAGAGAGACAGAGAGAATGAGCAGTAGACTCCTCAAGTCTGCTAACAAACCCTGAAGGCTGTAATAGCTGCTGCATCCGCTACTCAAACAGAGCCAAAACAGCGCTGATATCACACTGCTCACTCGTGCCATATTCCGATCCGGTCCGATCCGATGACAACGAACTGGACAGGCGCGTCGCTCGCGCTCAACTGCTGAACGCTGATGGCGTTCTCCCACTGGCCAAGCTCGGTGCTCAGCGCGACGCCAGCCGCAGCAGAGCCACCGGCAGCGCAGCCTGACGCGGCGCAACGTCTGCTGGGAAACTGAGGAAGTGTATGCCCAGCTGCCGATCTTCCAGCATTGTGTTTGATACAACTAACGAGGCACTCGAGCAACAATTTGCATAATCACAGCGATAACACTATTCACTGTGAATGTCGTTGCATTCGCGAAGGCGATGCATTTCCTATCGCACTCTATATTCTACATTAAGACGATTCTACGATTGAGTGAAACGAAAACTAACCAAAGTGAGTCTTAGAACTGATGCGTATGCGTAGATCCTGATCTCTTTGCTATATGTCCAGATCCTTGTCTTAACTGACAGGCCGAGCCTCTAATTTACTTAGTATTTTATTTAAGTTTGGCAATAAAATTTTAATAGTTTAAGAACTTGAACATCCGGTATTATTTGTGATTTTACAAGTTTGTTGACAATTTTAAGACGTAAAACCCCCAAAAAAAATGTATCTCTAAAGCGTATTTCTTCACGTCATTTTGACCAACTGGAATTCCAAGATGCTCAAATTAATTCTACATGATTTTCGGAATAATTTTGAAGGTAATTAATTTTTATTAGGCGAATTTTGTAAACTTATGACCAATTTTAGTGCGCGTCATCTCACATGTAGTTATCGGGAGTCCAGTCTGGGGGCTGAGCGTGATCCGGATCTGGGGTGGTCTGGTCTGGTGCGTTCGGGCGAGCGGGCCCCGGATTGCGAGGAAAAGGAAACAGATTACCCATACCGCCGGATAATGGATCCAAATCGCCCCGCCCAACGTCGGGCATATTATAGGAATTTACCTCGAAACTGTGCGGCATATATGCCACCGGCTGCTGACTGTCATCGGCAAGGGGATCTGTTGTCTGCACCGGCGTCTGGGTGGTCATTTGCGGTACGACCACGTCACGGATATTTGCCGCAAATACCGGATCGCAGAGCTCACGGCGAAAGCGTTCAACAACGACGTTAGCGGTTGGCAGGGTCTTGGCAATGCCACCCTTCAAGTCGCCCACCAGAGTGTCGGGCGTGACGCACAGATTGGAAACGTTCTTGGTGTTCACGTCCAGCAAATTGACGATCAATGCATCCTCGGTAATGTGGGCCAGCAGCAAATAGAGGACCTTATTGCGCACATATCTCAGCGAGTACTTGGCACTATCTCCGTTCCACTGATCCGGCAATAGTTCGCTGCCGGGCTCATCATCCGGCATACTTTTGTCATCGCCGATGCCAACGCAACGAAAATTACAATGTTTGGTCAGCAGAAAGTGGGCAAGGACCATCAACACATCCGCCTTCTTGACAATTCGAGTCTCCACAGTTTTAAATAGTAAGTCCCAGCCGTAAAAGAAGTCCGAATTTTCCGTATCCGCCACCGCTGTCGAGGTAGGAGCATCCATTACAATTACGAATTTTGAATATTTGTTGAACAAATTTGTTTAAATAAACTAAAGTACAATCACAGAGCTAAAGCACATCAATGAAATCATGCTGCTGTCAAAAACATCGTAAAAAACACAAACTGACAAACGTAGAATTCGTAGAGTCCTTTTCATTTATATTACAACGACTTCCGATATAATAACATACATATCATTAGACAAAGACCTTAGTAATATCATTATAAACGTATTCTACAGACCACGCTCAATTCTTCACATTCCTAAATGTGGGTTCCTTGGATGGAACAGAAGAGCCAATCAATTCCTGCGCTACGCTGCTCACAAATATCGTATAGAAAATTGGACTGTCGGTCAAAGTGCACTCGTTGGTAGTGGGCGTGGCAATGCCAGCCACACACAGACTGCCGTCGCTTTGCTCCACATGGAGGACACTCGAGCTGGCCGTCAGGCAATTTTTGCATCCATCACTCCTAGCAGAGCTCTACGGCATAGCTCTCGCACAGATGTATGTTGAAGAGGTATCGATTCTTCTCACCGGGCGTTTTAGCTGCGGTAATCTGCAGTCAGAGAGTCTCTCAAGCCGGGTCTGAAACAATCCACAGTTGGTCTCTGCAGAAATAATAGAAGTAGTTGAAACAATCCTAGATCACATGATATGTATGTATATACCCCCGTTTTGAGCAAAGCCCACAGCATATAACTTTGACTGTTCTTTCAGTTCGTTTTCAAAACAAACTGTAGCCAAGCTCACGTTTTTCATTGCCTTATCGGTAAAATCAATGGCATTCTTCAGGTTGAACAGTGCCAGATCGTTGTTGATTATCTTGTTTTTTTGACTGCAAACGAATTTAGGAAAACAAAGACTGGAAACCGCAAGGAGCTACAGAATTTTGTTGATCCTCATAAGCGTTCCATGTGCTACAATTATCGGGTAGCTTACAAGTACTTTTCATATCCAGGCATGGCAAATTCTCCGTTTAGATTTAAAAAATAAATAGCTAATTACACAAATAGACAAAGCAACTGTATTGATGTACCAGTAGACGAACTAAATATATTATATTGGGTTTATGCAATATCCGTCTTAATATCCCTCTGCCCAATATGAAGTACAGTGTGACTGGAAAGTCAGAGGAAGCCAAATCTGGGCCATATGAGATTTTTTAGTTGAGTAGTCCCAAAAGTCCTAACAAAATCAGATAACCTTTTAATTGCCAAATAAATCCGAAATTCAAGAAAAATATTAGTAATACAATAAAAAACAAGTAAGAAGACTCTAGTCGAGACTGCTCGACTACGAGATACCCTGAACCCTCTAATCTGATATTTTAATCAGTCTGCACTTATTTTCGACACACATACATACACACGCACGTATTAGAACGTGCTCTGCTAACTGTGCATTAAGCAGCGACTGCGCTTGGGCTGCGCTGTAGTGTGGGCAACATTATAAGAATTTATTTGTTGAATAATTTAAATTCTAGGCGTACAATCTTAATGAAACTTTCAGAGCGTAATCATATGCTGAAAATGTATGTACATTCCAAAGCACACGTCTCTAGTACTTGAAATACGCCTTTTACAGAGGTGATGATGAGGGGGTGGATATAGGGGTGGGGGGTAAATTACAAAAAAAAAATCGAAATTATATAAAATACATATAAGTCTACATTTAAAATTTGGAAGCTCTAGCTCTAA